TACCAGAAAAGAATTGCAGCATTTTCTATTCTTTTTGGTTTACTTTATAATTTTGGAATGGATTTGCTTCCACGGGCCAGAGAAGAAAAGAACATCTTCCTGGTTGTAGTTTAAGGTGTCTTCTAATTGATTGTTCAATTTCAAGAATATTGATAAAGATTGGTCACATTGATTTTGTAAAACAAAGTAATGTGTAAAATTTAGTCTCAAAAGAAATCATATTTCACATTTTCGGCTGTTCAAAATAAAATACTGTTTTAACTCACTGTAAAAAAATAACTCAATGACTAAAGGCACATACAAATGACATATTTAGAAATATTTTCTTTTCTTTCCAGCCATATGAATATTTTTAACTAAGATTGGACCCGAAATATATGAGAACTTGCAAGTTGAATGGACTAAATTTCAAATTTGTCAATCTCAAATGAAATCAGATATTGACTGGCAATGCTATCATTGCACAAGAAAATGAATGGCTTCCTTAGAAAGCGAAAATACTAATTTAAAAACTGAAAAAACGAATTGAAAACTGCAGCATCAAGGAAAAAAAAAAACAGAAACCAATACCGAAACATTAATTTTAAAACCGACCAACTCTAATATATATATATATATATATAATATTAGTGGTTAACATACACACATGTGTGTGTGTGTGTGTGGAAATATATATATATATATATATATATATGTGTGTGTGTGTGTGTATATATATATATATATATATATATATATATATTAGTGGTTAACATACACACACACACACACACACATATATATATATATAATATTCGTGGTTCACACACACACATATATATATATATATGTATAGATAATATTCGTGGTTCACACACACACACACACACACATATATATATATATATATATATAATATTCGTGGTTAACATACACACACACACACATATATATATATATATTATAAAATTCCATGAGGATAGAATCCAGGGTAGAACTCAATGTCCAGGACAGAGTAAGAATATAATAAAAAGGCTTAAACACTAATATTCCATGGTTATAATTTATTACATTGCAATCGTAAATACAATCCAATTCATCAGAGCTACAAATTCAAAAAGAAATCAGAAAAAATAACTCCGGGAATAAAAAACAAATAAATTTAGCAAGAGTGTATGTATGAGAGTGGGGGATGAATGTGAGAGGTAAAAGAAAGTTCTAGAGAGGGGGGTAACAGACGAGAGAAGAACGTGAAGGCCTAAAGGTGAAGGTGGGGATTAAAATTTAATAGAGAGAAATTCTAAAGAGAAGTTAGAAGACGGTTTAAATGAGTGAGAGACAGATAAAGTTGAATTATTTTCTGATGTATAATTCATTACTGAGTGGCTGACCTAAATTAATTTAAAAATTGACACCAGAAATGGGTTTATACATTTGTGGTGACACTACACACAATAATCTAAATTTAAAAATCAGAAGATGAGAAACAGAGAGAAAAGAAAATATATATACATTGTTCAGACTGTTGTCCTCACCTTTACTGTCACATTCACAGTGTTTCGGCCGATGTACACTCTAGCCTTCTTCAGGTGATATTTGTTGGAATTTCAAACCAAAACTCTTTATTTAGTCTACAGGGTTAGATTGGTTTTTGGTTGTCTTATTTTCAGTTAATTGATAACTCTGCAAGCTTTTTTTTCTCTCTACTTAGGCCAGGGATTGAACTCACAATTCTTTGGGTCAAGTCGCTTTTTGGATCCAAAATGTAGAAAAATAGATAGAAACATTTCCCCCATACATAAATATGTAAATCACATCACTAGTCCGCATGTTCATTTTTCTATACAAGATGCCTCATGAATATTGATCCTGCAGTCCCCCAAAGATAGATTGTCACCCAGCAGCAATGATTCTTTCTTTTTTTGTTTTTCTGAGAATAATCCCAGACCTTGCGCCTTTGGACCTTTTTTTTCTATTGATGATCTCTTATCATTTCACAGTTTGGGTTGTTTTTCGTCCTTTTTTTTTTTTTTGGGGTTCCATCAATCCTGTTCCTTTTGGGTTAGTTTCCACTGATAAGAGTTATCTCCCTTTGTATCAGCATCAGCCTCTTTAGTTTGCAGAAATGCAGGGAATCATGTGAGCGATATGGCACTCAATCATTGGATACATTTATATAATTCCTGTTGTGTCTTATATTATCTTTCCTGTTTGTGTGCATGCATATATATATATATATATATATATATATATATGACTGCATTTTTTTCGTGGCAACATATCTCTTTCTCATATACATATATATATATATATATATATATATATATATGTGTGTGTGTGTGTATTTAGGCAGGAATCCTTTTTTCATACACATTTCATTGAATACGACAGACAAGGTGCTTTGATTTAGTTTCTTATACAATTTCTAATGTTATCTAGTAATGTTATCTAGTAATTTTTTTTCTTTTTGGATGATAAATTATATAAAACTGTCCAATTGTGTGTGTGTGTACATATATACACACACACACATATATATATATATATATATATATATATATATATATATATATATTATAAATTGATTTAAAATATGGTTTTTTTCTCTACACAGTTCTAACCATGTTTCAAAAATGGAAGCTAAAATCTTCAAATTTAATTTTGTAATTAAACTAAAGACATTAGTTCCATTTCATCCTCAAGCGAATACTCCAAAATTCGCTTGAAAATGAAATGGAACTAATGTCTTTAATTTAATTACAAAATTAAATTTGAAGCTTTTAGCTTCCATTTTGAAACATGGTTATTACTGTGTAGCAAAAAAAAAACATATTTTAAATCAATTAATTTATAATATTAATGCTCTGTAAATTTACATTGAGCACTATTTTGTTATTATTGTTATATATATATATATATATATATGTCTCTGTGTGTGTACATTTTTATTATTTTTAAAAACACGAGTTACCTCCCTTGATATATTGTTTGCATCCTGAATCCAATTTCAAATTATTTGTTTTTTATTTAATTATTATTCTCCAACTTTAGAACTTATTTGAACAACATAAATTATTAATAGTTAATTATATATTTTAAATAGACAAGTTTGTACACCCAATTTTGATTCACCATCAGGAGAACATGAGAGATAAGGGTTAATACACACTTAAAGATTACATGAACTGCATGAAACTCTGAGTAGTGTGTTGTCGACGTTCGATATGATGTATATTCACTGGATGAGTTCTTCAAGAAAGCAAAAGTGGATGACATAATATTGTTTCTTAAAACAGCAAATTTATATTAAAATATATAAACCAAATAAGAATGCTAATAAAATCAATTTCAGTATCTGTCTATATTTCTGAGATGAGGTATTATGTACACTATTTACATTATTCGGACTATTGTCCTCATCTTTGTCGCCATATTTATTACAACGTTTCGCCCCTTCAGTATCTGTCTATATTTCTGAGATGAGGTATTATGTACACTATTTACATTATTCGGACTATTGTCCTCATCTTTGTTGCCATATTTATTACAACGTTTCGCCCCTTCAGTATCTGTCTATATTTCTGAGATGAGGTATTATGTACACTATTTACATTATTCGGACTATTGTCCTCATCTTTGTTGCCATATTTATTACAACGTTTCGCCCCTTCAGTATCTGTCTATATTTCTGAGATGAGGTATTATGTACACTATTTACATTATTCGGACTATTGTCCTCATCTTTGTCGCCATATTTATTACAACGTTTCGCCCCTTCAGTATCTGTCTATATTTCTGAGATGAGGTATTATGTACACTATTTACATTATTCGGACTATTGTCCTCATCTTTGTTGCCATATTTATTACAACGTTTTCCCCTTCAGTATCTGTCTATATTTCTGAGATGAGGTATTATGTACATTATTTACATTATTCGGACTATTGTCCTCATCTTTGTCACCATATTTATTACAACGTTTCGGCCTTTCAGTATCTGTCTATATTTCTGAGATGAGGTATTATGTACATTATTTACATTATTTGGACTATTGTCCTCATCTTTGGTGCCATACATTTCAGCCCTTCAGTATCTGTCTATATTTCTGAGATGAGGTATTATGTACACTATTTACATTATTTGGACTATTGTCCTCATCTTTGTTGCCATATTTATTACAACGTTTCGGCACTTCAGTATCTGTCTATATTTCTGAGATGAGGTATTATGTACACTATTTACATTATTCGGACTATTGTCCCCATCTTTGTTGCCATATTTATCACAACGTTTCGGCCCTTCAGTATCTGTCTATATTTCTGAGATGAGGTATTATGTACACTATTTACATTATTCGGACTATTGTCCTCATCTTTGTCACCATATTTATTACAACGTTTCGCCCCTTCAGTATCTGTCTATATTTCTGAGATGAGGTTTTATGTACACCATTTTCATTATTCAGACTATTGTTCTCATCTTTGTCACCATATTCAATAACTCACTTACTGAACAAAGAAGATCGGCCAATATGCCAAGTATGTAAAACTGCATACACTACTAAACATATATTAACTGAATGTTCAGACTTTGTTCTCTAAAGACAAAAATGCTATAATATAAACATCTTATATGAGATCTTTGAAAAAGCAAAAGTGGATGACATAATATTATTTCTTAAAACAGTGAACAGATATTAAAATCTATAAACCAAAAAAGAATGCCAATAAAATCAATTTCTGTACAAACTGTATATCTGAAAAGAGTATATCAATGAAACCAGACTCTTGATAAAACCATTTTTACAAAAATACTTCAATGAAACCCGATCTACAAACTGATTTCTTACAAAGAATATGTATTCTATTCATGTGAACCTATCCTAAAAATCTTGTCGGCATTAAATACAATACCTCATCTCAGAAATATAGACAAAACGATTCTTGTAAGCAAACAATGCTGAGATTAAAGTGTGGTTTTTCCGCTGAGACAGTGCTTGATGTCTTGCAAGCATCAGAATGATGGTGACACTGGTCAGCACCGGCTCCCTCTTCAACACTTATTTCCATATAATGGCATGTTGAATTCAACTTCAATCTATAGTAACCTGAACCGTCACTAAGTGAATTGCTATCTTCTATTAATTCCTTTCCTTTTATTGTTCTCTCTCTAATAATGTTTTCTGTTTTTATATCCTCTCACACTCAGTAACCCCTTGCAACTTTATTGACTTAGCTTGGAGTGAAATGACAATAAACAAAAGGAATTTTTATTTGGAATTACAAAATTTTAATCTGATCTTAAAAAGATTAATTTGTTTTTGATTTTTTTTTTTTCAGAACCAGGTTAAAAAGTTAGCATCTTTGATTGGTGGACAGTTTTTATTGACGTTCTCAAGAGAAGTTACCCATGTCATTGTTAAAACAGGCAAGTATATATATATATATATATTTTTTTTTTTAAATCGTATAACAATTTGTTTTATTTTTATTATTTTTGCTATGCTTGGTCACATAAATTATTTTAACTAAAATATAACCTCACAGTTTCTGTATAATTACTGGTATGAAGAGTTATTCTTATTAACATGTGGACGATTGTCTTCATCTTTGTTGCTATTACAAGTTGTTGAGTATCCATTATCTGAAATTCCAAGATCAAAAGTTCTTCAGGTACTGACATTATTTGTCACAAATGGTAAATTTCAGAAAGCAGGATGCCTACCCTTAGCATGATTATTAGTGTTGAACCATTACAAATAAAATACTGACTTCTTTTTTTTTTTCAGTTTTCATTTACATTTACATTTAACTGGAATCAGAATCCATGTTTTATTTTTATACAAATACTGTACCTGTACGTGTTGTAACATTTTAATGAAAACACAACATTGTTGGTAGTTGTTTATAAATACCTATTGCAAAATAAAATCCTTACATTTGCTTGATAAAGACCATCAGTAGATGAAATGCATCGGCTAAGATAAGATTTCCTTTTCACTTTGAGGATACCTGTCTATTAGGGCAGCCAGCCATTCCCTATTGCAGATGCTCACTCAGGCACATTTGAATTTGTCCAACACCTACAGAGCCAATCTGTGGTTTATACTGCAACTATGCAACCATTAGTGGATGAAATCCATCGGTTAAAATAAGATTTCCTTTTCACTTCGAGGATACCCGTCTATTAGGGCAGCTAGCCAATCCCTATTGCAGATGCTCACTCAGAGCAACACCCACAGAGCCAACCTGTGGTTTATACTGCAACTATGCAGAGCAGACCTTAGTTACAGTTTCTGGGAGAGTGCATGTTATTTAGCATGAACAAAGCCAGCACACTCAAACCCTCGGTGACTTCGTGCTAGCACAGCTATTGACGACCCCCCCCCAAGTGTTCTGTATACTTAGTTTCATGCACAAGGCTTGGGTCAACCCGTTATATAGCTTTCAGGCACTTTCTAAAGCTGCTGCATGCTGGGATCCCTCCCCTTCCACTCCAGATCGATAACAACAGGAAGTCTACTTCCTGACAAATCAGCCCTGGTGAGATTTGAACCTGGGTCTCATGGTCAGAGAGCAGACATTCTAACCATTCACACACACACACACACACACACACACACACACACACATATATATAAATAAAAGCAAATATATGGATATAGATCCGACAGTATGAAGAAAAATATACGGAAAAAACAAACAAAAATCCTTATATGCAATTATGCTGTTTTAATGTTGATATAATGTCAACATTGGACGTTTCGGTCTAATAAACCATCTTCAGGACATGTTCATAAAATATAATTAACATTATCAAATTTTAGGAATACGTTTTCACAGCATCGCCCACGTGACGACAACGTGACCATGTTTAAAAGGAACGCGGATCTTATAAAACTTTCAGTTATCTGTTTGGATAAGTCTTGTTCTTATGTCCATCGTCTTTGTCATGTTGTATTGATAATGTTAATTATGTTTTATGAATATGTCCTGAAGATGGTTTATTAGACCGAAACGTCCGACGTTGACATTATATTAACATTAATCAGCATAATTGCATATAAGGATTTTTGTTTGTTTTTTCCGTATATTTTTCTTCATATATATATGTATACACACACACACACACACCATATATTTCCATGCATAAGATGACCTTTAAATCCCAAAAATCACCCTAAGAAATTGGCGGGGTTTTGCCTTATACTACAATTCTAAAACACAAACCTTAAATTCTGAATAATGTTTGTCAGTAGGCTCACCTTGGCCTCGGTGCGATAAGAAATGACATACATGAAAAAATACACATTATCAAATAAACTGATAATAAAAGTAATGAAACCATTTTTACTTCATATATTATTGGCATAGCTTCATAATAAATTGCCTAATCGAAGAATAATTCCATATCAATGAAATCAAGTTGTATACATGTAAGCTCAGCTGACAAAATGTAAACTTCGAGTTATGATTGCATTCACAGCAACCTTTATTTTTTGCTAAACTTTCAATAATCATCATAGTGTCAATTATGGCAGTAATAACATTTAGGATAACATAATATTTGTTTCTCATTTTTTTAAAAATGCATTATCATACTGTTATTAGCGATATTTTTGTCAATGAGGTATAAGTAAATGGTCATTAGTACACCAGGCTGCTTGTAACTGTTTAGATATAGAAAAGAAGAAGAATCAGTATTCACAAGTGATCGCAAGATGAAACATAAAGAAAACAATTGTTTCCCTTTTAGGGGACATGTATGGGAAAAACATGATAGAGAATTGGTTGTGTTATTTTGTTTATTTTGAATTTCTAAGGATACATTAACAACATTTTCAATAACATCATCTTTAGATAATCAATAAACAGTTTTCTTATGCTACAGGTATAGGATAAATTCCTGAAAATTTGCTGTATTTTTTTGATATTGTCTTATCTAAACATTGCTTTATGTGCGGAAATATGTGTGCGTGTGTTTATACATATATATTCATGAATTATTCATACAAAAAACAAATACAAAGGTTAATGATTTAATTGGTGAGAAATCCATCGTCGCCAACAATTCAAATAATATACAAAAACCCTGAACCTGTTTATGAATGAAAAGATCCTTGTTTTTATCAATTTCTGTTGCATAAGTTCTTATTATTTTTACAAGCTTTCGTCTGTTCCTACAGACATCCTCAGGTATGGAATAGATTTTGTTCTTGTTTTTACTCTCAGAGGACAACGAAAATATATGTATTGTAATCCGAAAAATGCTATTAGAAATGTTTTTTGTATAAGTAATTCATGAATTTGTAAATCAATTGCACCTTTATTGAAATATATATATATATATAAAAAAGTGAACATTGAAGTCAACACTCAGTGGTGACAGGCTGTTTCATGCTAGACACAATTGTCAGGCTGCGAATGTTGTATTTTTCTCGACTGTTTATATATATGGGTCAGTGGTGCATTGTGGGTAATCTATTCTGGCAGTTATTTTTGCGGGAGTGGCTTTGTTTATTTTTTTGTTTGGGTTAATTTATTTTACTTGTTTTTCATTTTCATTTTGTATTATTTATTCTTTTCGGTTTTTGATGTTTTATTAACATAGTAAAATCAGTTAATTTATAATATTAATGCTCTGTAAATTTACATTGAGCACTATTTTGTAAAAATAAAAATATCAATAAGAAGACCGGATTACTTTTATTTTTATATATATATATATATATATATATATATATATATATATATATATATATATATATATATATATACACACACATAATACCTTACTTTAATTTCACAACTCCGAAGTTCCATGCTGAAGCAATTGTTAAGTGTTGAAATTTTTTTTTTTAAATAAAATTACAGCACTTAATGCAAGATATGCATATTTCTTTTATATATATATATATATATATATATATATATATATATATATATTCATTTTTATTTTTCTGATTACTTTCAATATATTCCAGTATCATATTCAGGGTTATGATGGCTGAGACAAATAATTCTACAATTTATGAAGACACTTAGAGTTCATTAAAAAAAAAAAAATGTTCTGATTTTTTTTTTCAGCTTTGCATTATGTAATATTATGCATTATCTTTATTCCCTTGTGTATAATTTGTCCTTTTTGCTTTGTTCAGTATCAGAAAATGTGCGACATTGTGATCGAACACTGAAGTATTTTCTAGGAATAGCTAATAAGTCGTGGATTTTACCATACAAATGGATCCAAGACTCCCTGGAAAAGAAACGGCTTTTAAAAGAGGTAAGGATCTTTCTTTTTATGTGCCATGTCCTTTCCTTCTATCCGTTGCAGCCATCAACAAGGTGCTTCCCTCTGCTTCCTCCCCCAGACCACATTCTGTCATCCACTTTTAAGCCCACCAGGTATGTCACACATTGACTTCCCTTGTCTCTCTTTCCCTCTATTCGACCCATGAGTATCAGATTCTCCAGGCCCTCCTTCCTCATTATGTGTCCTCGAAACATCAGCTGCAGCTTCCTGATATTAAGTATAAGCCTCTTCCTTGTTTGCAACCTCTCTAAGACCTCATCGTTGCTCACACTACTCAGTTCACGATATCTTTATCATCCTTCTGTAGAACCAGATCTCTGTCGCCTCGTCTCTTTTTCATCTTTGAGGACATTGTCCAACATTAAGGCATTGAGATAAGGATACTTGTTGAAATTTGTCACATTAATTTAAGTGACGAATAGGACTGATGATGACGTAAACATATAATAGCATCATCCACATGTAAAGAAAAGACTAAATGCCAACCCTCAATAATATTGACTATTCTGACCCCCCCATTGATCTTGCTATGAAACAATCAAAAATCATTAATAACTTAAAATTGATTAATTTTAAGTCTTTTTATATCATTTTTGGATTCCTCGAGCCAAAAATCTTTTCTGAGCTAATCTTTATGAATAGGGAAGCTCTTGAACTACCATAATTCCCCATGTATAATACACATTTTTTTCTAAAAATATAATAAACAAAATTAGGGGTGCGTATTATGTACAGCTCCAAAAAAAAAATCATTAAAAAATTGCTATTTTATAGGTTGATTTCAGTTATGAAATGATTACTCACCACAAACATGACAATTTGACACTAACATTTGGCGATTGTGAAACCCATATGGATGTCAAATACAATCGTATACTTACGATTGTATTTGACATCCTAACAATATTTACAAATGTAAAATAAAATAAGAATTATCATAAAACTAAATTAGAGTAATATTCTATGTTCAAAACCATATTTTTTTAATGAGTCCAGGAAGTGCTGGCTGTGATGAAATTGGCGAAGTACAATTTATAGGGTTTGATTACCAAACAAGGGGTCTGTATTATGCATGAGTAGAAGCATTTTCCCACACTTTCAGCACAATTTTAGGGTTATGTATTATGGATGAAGGAGTGTTATATATGGGGAAGTACGATAATTTCTCAGACAAAAATACATTACGGAAGGTCACAATTTTTTGCATGACCCCAAAACTGGGGAAAACTAAAAATTGATATGAATTGCACAATTTTTGGAATTAGAAGCTCAAATTTTGCAGGTTGTCTTAATTTAACATAGACGACATTTCAGAAAAATTGAAGAGGTAAGGGTGACATGTCATCGATGAATTGACATGGAATGACCCTAGAGGTTTATCCTTCCTTTCCTGTTTAGGATTGGGTTTCTGGGTCCTTCTAAATTCTACTTCAACTCTATATTTCTAATGTCTTTGCTCCAACTCTGAAATTGTATTTACTATTTATTTTACTTTTCTTTTCTTTTTTTTTTTCTTTTTAACCTCTATAGGAGTTGATAGACTCACCTATCGTCTGGTTCACACTCCTCCCAGCTTTTTTGAACAGGATTAGAGGTTTATCCCTTGTTTAGGATTGGGTTTCCAGTTTATTCTAAATACTACTTCAACTCTCTAATCCTAATGTCTCCACCTAAATTCTGAAATTTATGCTATTATTGGACTTCCAGTTCCTTCTAAAGTCTTTCTTTATTCTTTCACTTCCAGTAGTTCCTTGCGTCTTAGTGGCATTATTGCCTTGCTCGAGTTGAACTGATAAAAAAAAAAAAAAAAAGAAACTACGTTCCCTATTTCCACCAATCCAGACCTTCACGCTGAGGATCTACAATGCCACACATGTCGAGTTGGTTTTGTCGTTACCTTTGTCTTACATTGGTAAGAATTCCCACCCCACCCCGCCAACTGCTACTTCGAGGAACAAACTCCCAAGTGGATACTTCCCTGACAACTACAATCTTGGTCTCTTGGTCAACCGTTATCTATCATGCTCTTTGTCCAGAGTCAACCATTATCATGCTCTTTATGTCCAGGGTCAACCGTTATCTAACATGCTCTTTATGTCCAGGATCAACCGTTATCTATCATGTTCTTTATGTCCAGGGTCAACCGTTATTTATCATGCTCTTTATGTTCAGAGTCAACCATTATCATGCTCTTTATGTCCAGGGTCAACTGTTATCCATCATGCTCATAATTTGCATTTGCGTCTTCATTTTCTTAGGCCTTTACACCAACCTCATTCTATATCCCTCTACCTTGAGTAGCTCTTATGCCTTATATTGAGTGAACATTTAGTAAATAAAATATATAAGTAATATATTTTTTTTTTCCACAGGAATCATATGAAATTATTGGAGACTCTGTAAACGGTTGTGCTCATCGTGGTCCCACAAGATCTCGGCTTTCGCATGTGCCTCTATTCAAACAGTTTGAGATTTATGTGGTTGGAGAAAGCTCTGAGCTGACACAAGGTAGGTACCATTTTCTTTTCTCACCTTGAAGATAATCAGTCGTATCCTGACTACAAATGTCACTTCTTATTAGTAATAATAAGAGGAGTCCCAATTGTGGTAATTGTGTTATTGCATGTAAAGCGATGCAAATTTAGCATTACATCCAATGTGCTGGTATTATAGCTTGGGAGCTGTCTTCTGAAATTATCCTGCCAGATCTTAATGGTGTACATTTGAAATGATGTATAAATAATTTAAACCAAATAAACCATTGAAACATTATATATGCACACACACACACACACAATAGTGTGTTAGGTCACTCAGAAACCTACTGGTACTACATAACCAGCTATATATATATGTGTGTGTGTATACTCGGTGCAATGGATAAATTGTAGTCTAAATCAGTGCTTCTCAACTGTTTCCAGTTCATGGACCATTTTCTCCTTCCAAAAATTCAAATGGACCACTCCTACTTTTACTTTTAGGCTGTTCAATTATTATATTAAAATACTCAATGAAAAAGACAGTGTAGTCTATTTACACTTTAAAATTTATTTTAGTAAACAAGGATAAACACGGAATATCAAAATCAATTTTAATGATGTCATTCAGTCTTAGTCTGATAGTTCCTCTACCTTGATCTTGGTGTTTCTGATACAAGATATCATAACCAATTTTGATGATGTCATTCAGTCTTAGTCCATTCAACTAGCGACTACATTAATCTTGGTATTTCTGACACAAGATATTGTAATCAATTTTGATGATGCCATTCAGTCTTAGTCCATTCAGCTAGCGACTACATTAATCTTGGTATTTCTGACACAAGATATTGTAATCAATTTTGATGATGCCATTCAGTCTTAGTCCATTCAGCTAGCGACTACATTAATCTTGGTATTTCTCACACAAGATATTGTAATCAATTTTGATGATGCCATTCAGTCTTAGTCCATTCAGCTAGCGACTACATTAATCTTGGTATTTTGACACAAGATATTGTAATCAATTTTGATGATGCCAAGTCTTAGTCCATTCAGCTAACTACATTAAATTTCTCACACAAGATATTGTAATCAATTTTGATGATGCCATTCAGTCTTAGTCCATTCAGCTAGCGACTACATTAATCTTGGTATTTCTGACACAAGATATTGTAATCAATTTTGATGATGCCATTGTCTTAGTCCATTCAAGCGACTACATTAATCTTGGTATTTCTGACACAAGATATTGTAATCAATTTTGATGATGCCATTCAGTCTTAGTCCATTCAGCTGACTACATTAATCTTGGTATTTCTGACACAAGATATTGTAATCAATTTTGATGATGCCATTCAGTCTTAGTCCATTCAGCTAGCAACTACATTAATCTTGGTATTTCTCACACAAGATATTGTAATCAATTTTGATGATGCCATTCAGTCTTAGTCCATTCAGCTAGCGATACATTAATCTTGGTATTTTGACACAAGATATTGTAATCAATTTTGATGATGCCATTCAGTCTTAGTCCATTCAGCTAGCGACTACATTAATCTTGGTATTTCTGACACAAGATATTGTAATCAATTTTGATGATGCCATTCAGTCTTAGTCCATTCAGCTAGCGACTACATTAAATTTCTCACACAAATTTTAATCAATTTTGATGATGCCATTCAGTCTTAGTCCATTCAGCTAGACTACATTAATCTTGGTATTTCTGACACAAGATATTGTAATCAATTTTGATGATGCCATTCAGTCTTAGTCCATTCAAGATATCTTGGTATTTCTGAACAAGATATTGTAATCAATTTTGATGATGCCATTCAGTCTTAGTCCATTCAGCTAGCGACTACATTAATCTTTGTATTTCTGACACAAGATATTGTAATCAATTTTGATGATGCCATTCAGTCTTAGTCACATTAATCTTGGTATTTTCAAGATATTAACCAATTTTTATGAACTACCTTGATCTTGGTGTTTCTCATACAAGATATCATAACCAATTTTGATGATGTCATTCAGTCTTAGTCCATTCAGCTAGCGACTACATTAATCTTGGTATTTCTCACACAAGATATCATAACCAATTTTTATGATGTCATTCAATCATGACCTTGATGTTTCTCATTACAAGATATCATAACCAATTTTGATGATATCATTCAGTCTTAGTCCATTCAACTAGCGACTACATTAATCTTGGTATTTCTGACACAAGATATTGTAATCAATTTTGATGATGCCATTCAGTCTTAGTTCATTCAACTAGTGACTATCTTGATATTGGTGTTTCTCACACAAGATATCATAATCAATTTTGATGATGTCATTCAGTCTTAGTTCATTCAGCTAGCGACTACATTAATCTTGGTATTTCTGACTCAAGATATTGTAATCAATTGATGATGTCATTCAGTGTTAGTCTGATAGTAGTCTGTTAGTCTGCTGTTGAGATCTAACTTATTTCTTTTTCTACTGAAACATCCACAGCAGCTGAAAATCCAGATTCCACCATCCATGTGGTAGGAAAAGAAATGACGCTTGCTTCTACATGTCGAAAAATATTTGGATGTAAGTCTTTTTATTGATATGTAGGCAAAGACACCTTCTTTGTTGTCAACTCCATTTCTCAGCTTTGCATTCTCTTTCAAGTCCAGCAACATTTCAGCCAACTCAACATGTTCATCTTATGGCTCATAATTTTCTAATTCTATAAACAAGACTAGATAATCCATCTTTAATAGATCATTGTATCTTTTCTCAAAGTCTACATGAAGACCTTTAAGATGGAAGATACAATGTATTCTGATGTAGGTGCAGTGATGTTGGAATTTTTTAAAATGATGCCAATTTCAAAAAAAAAAAATTTCACCTTCCTGGGTATGACAATAAACTAAATTTGCGTCCTGGGTAAGACGATAAACTACGTCCACCAGCAAGGCCACTGATCAGGAGGTTTTGAAGTGTGTGGGACCACCTCTTAATTGCTGGTGTTCCCAGGTCCACCTGATCCGAGGTGGTAGCACCTGTTAGGGTCCCAGCTATGGGCAAATAGTTAACCCCCAAACTGGGCTCAAAACACTATGAAAGTGTAAAAATAGGTTTTAATAACAGAAATACTTTGTAAAAAATTATTACCAACAATTAAATTTTGAAGAAAAATTTTTACCAGCTATTCATTTTTGAAAAAAAATATTACCAGTGATACATTTTTGAAGAAAAAATATTCCCAGAAATAGACTTTTTGAAGGAAAAAAATTACCAGCAATACGTTTTTGAAGAAAAAATATTACCAACGATAAAAATTTTGTTGGCATGAAATAACCCATTGAGGTTGATATGCCATAAAACAAACCAAAGCAAAATTTCAATTTCCGCATATAGCCCTTATCTTCTGATCACAGGTGACTAAATCTGATCTTCTGCCTTGCATCTCCAAGTTAAGCAGATTCACTGTTTTAAAAATATCACTCAGGTAGAATATTTTTGATTTAAGCTCAGGAATTCTTTCCAAAATTTCCTTAGCTGTATCAATTTGCTTCTTGGAGTTGTAATGAATCATTTGGGACTTGAACATGAGAAAGTTGATGAATGGTTCCCACAAATTCACTTGTCTTTCAAGGATCCAGCCGTTTGACAACCATTTTCTGTGTGAAGAAATAAGGTTTTAAAATTTTCATCTTCACAGAATTGCACAAAAAAAAAAAAAAAAAATCTATCATTCATTGAGTTTGATTTGACAAAGTTAATTGCATGTATGGCAGTGTCGAATGCTTCTTGCATGTCTACGCCAATATTCTGCTAAGAATATTGGCGTAGACAATGGTGGTAGTTCTGCGAAAGACAAAGTTTTCTATCCAGATTGATGGGAGCACAATTTATAACCGAGCGATCCGTCTGGGCTATGTCAGATTCATCCACAAAGATGATATAAGGCAAGAAATGTTATTCATTAAAAGTTAACATCTTTTATGTCCACTGTCTGTGGATATTGCAGTGGATATAAAAGATGTGAGGAGCAACTGATTTCATTCTAGAAATAAAGCCTTTCACTTTTCCTGTCATGGCAGCAGCTCCATCAGATGCAATGCTGATCAAATTAGTCAATGGAATATCATTAAAATACCGCATTACTTCATTGAATATAACCTCTCCATTAGTAGTTTCAGGCAAACTTTTAATGAATAATATTTCTTGCCTTATATCATCTTTGTGGATGAATCTGACATAGACCAGACAGATAGCTTGGTTATGAATTGTGCTCTCATCAATCTTTGTCTTTTGCAGAACTACTACCATCTGCTCCTCAGCAAAATTAGACATTTCATCCTGTCTTCTTATAATAGTGTCATTTGAAATTGGAATTGTACTCGGAGTACATGCAGCATCTTTTCCCAGAACCTCTTTTGCACAATCTATCATAGCGGGCTTCACAAGCTTCTCACCATAAATCTGAGGTACTCCAAATTTGGCAATAATTTCAGAGACTAAATAACTTAGTTTTAGTGTCTTTGCTTTTGCAGTATCCATCTTCTTTCCAAAGTCTGATAGTTTGACTGGTTGTCTTTTCTTTTTATTCTCAAAAATATTCCCTATCTTTACCAAGAGATGATGGATGCTTTGAGTTTTGGTGCTGCTCCAGCTTAACGTTCTTCATGGAATCATTTGTCAAGATGGCACCACATTCAAGACACATAGATTTTGAGTCTACAGATATAAAGCCAAGCATGATAAAAAATCTTCTGTTATTCCTCGGTGTTGCCTTTTTAGCATTTGGTTCAGACATTCTTAGAACTTTTCTGAAAAAATAATAAAAATTATAAATACTTTATTTCTATAAATTAGAAATACCAAATTTATTATCAAACAATATTGTGTAGTGATCTATTAGCATAGAAGTCATTTTTTTTATGGGGATAAGTTTATATATATATATATATATATAATGAACGCGTGTGTGGTTGCAGTCTCATAACTATCAAATAAAATGCCTTGAATGAGTTTTGATTCACGGTC